CGTGATCCACGTGGCTGCAATGTGGACAAGGTAAATCCTACATGTTCATAGCACTCTTGTCTTAAATATTAAGCCTAACATGTTTTTTTCCATATGACAGATATACCACTCTTATTATATACTAACAATATACCATTTTTATTATAACTATTGAAAGACATTTATTAATGATATAAATTAATAGATTGTAATTATAGATGCAAAAATGCCTAAATAGGCTGACCATTAATTAGCACTCGAAAACAAATAATTCAACCGAGTATCGATGACCATTGGACAATCACTTTTCAACCTATCGTCACCATTTTTTTTTTACCCAACTTAAGCTGGAATTGATGTCGAGGCAAATTGTGTAAGATTGTGCCACTTGTGTGAACCACGAGTCTCATAGAGAGTTGTTAGAAAATTTTCAACATGTTTTTTATACTCTGTACCAATAGGTGACATGTAATGTGTCATTGTTAACCGTACAATAAGATTGGTTACATGAGAATGTTTGTACTTAGCTAGTTTATATTAGGCTCGACATTGTCCATGACTTCACCTTGATGTACTTAGTGTCACTATCGACAGTGAATCCACGAGTATGTAGTACTTGTTATAACCCAGCGAACAAGTTAGTCATGTAAAATTCATATTTTGCAGACAATATTAGTGTATGCTTGAGACTCGGTTCACGTTTGAGAGAAATGGTTTAGAGAACGCCAACAATGAAATAAGTTGAAAACAATTTTTAAGAAAACAATGTTATAAGCTAAAAGAAAATAAACAATAATCACAACTTTGTGCATATAACCTAAGTAGGAAGAATTGACAAGTAATCACATCTAGCTATAATATATTATGGAGTATTTTAGCCATAATGGATATAGACATGATTTTAGTGACTGGTCATAAACCCGTGTATTAACACAACAAGAATAGTACAAAACTATCTAATGTGAAAGCAAGTAAAATGGATTTAGAGTGGACATGCGGCCATGAACAACACGGACTGAACTAACATGATCGAGACATCTGAGACATAACTGCAAACATGTTTTGGATAAATATAACCGTGAGACTCAGCTAAGTACTGAAAACATTTTACATGATTAAACAACAAAGATAACAATACACAAGGGCATTATCAATTATAACAAAATTAATAATAATAATAATTTTAAAATTTTTTTAGGGTTCATATAGACTTTTATTATTATTTTTTTTAATAAATTTAATAGATGAATGAAATAAAGACGAAGGTTTAATACTCGTAAACATAATTTTAAATCAATTTGAAAACCTAAGACGACGTCGTTTGCGCAAGTTCGCAGCAAAGTGGAATTTGATGCCTGTGAAACAGCATCGCCTCGTAGGCATTACTGCGAAGAGTCTGAAACCGAATCGAGTATATATTTCCCTCGCCGGTGTGCACTGCTCATAATTTCCTGTCCGAGAGAGAAGATGAGCGAGCCAAGGCCTGTGAAAAGGAGAGAAAGTCCATGGGGGATGCCTGAGGGCGAGGATCGCCAGCCTAAGGCTCACAGATGCAACGACAGAGCGGAGGATGTCATTCAAGTAAACTTCCATTTCTTCGTAGTTTCTGCGTTCATCAGCATTGCTTGCTTCTTTTTCCACATAATTTCATCTTGTCTTCTTCTTGCTCTTTAATTTCTTGTTTATTCCGATTTCGATTTGTTTCTAATGAACTAATTTGAGAAATGAATATCGAAGTGATTCCGGAGTTTGTTGTTAGGTAGGATGCGATTTATTTCAACGATCGTTTGAGTCGATAATGAAGCATTGTCTTCGATGTTCAGTTTCCTGATGGATTTGGATTATTATGTGTTTTTTCTGGGGGTTTTGGTTGTACATGGTATCGTTGATAAGTTTGGGAGTAAATTTGAGAAGTCGGAAGCAGGATGGATTTAGCGACTAGTATCTTAGAAATTATGGCTCTTAGGAACTAGGAGCATAAGAGCATCTCGTTTATGTTGACAGCAAATTTCCGGAAAGATAATTGCAGTATTTTAGATAGCAGTGAGGTTTACTTGTTAAATCTTTGGACGAAGCAAATGGCCAAGGAGATCGAAACGTGTGCGATGACTGGAAATAGTTATTCTGTTGGATTTTGTTTTGTCATTCGAACACTCTATGAATTTTATTCTTCAAAGTAAAGCTTTCAACGCAATGTTCCTCTTAGGTCTTCCTACAATTAGTTATATATTCTGGAAGAAAAGGAGAAATTAGAACTCCCGTTCGCCTCACGCATGTGCTTTCACCTCCAACAGGAAAGTACACAAATGTATTTGGTTGGAGAATATGACCTCCAATACTAGCGTTTGGTTTTCGTTTTTTGTAGTGCATGGAAATGTAAAAGATGATTATAGAGTTAAGGATTTCATGTATGGTTTAGATCGGATATTCAATAACTAAAACTATAATGTTCTCTGGAATTTCATTAGCATTTAATTCATCGTTGCTACAATAGTCTGTCGTATTGCCAAGTAAGTTACTATGTCGAATACTTTTGAGTTTTGAATCGGCTGTAATTTTTCAATATTTATCTGTCTTCAATTATTTATTGTTGGAGGTTCTGGAGAAAAAAAGAAAAAAACAATAGCTCTCACGAGGAAAATATTTATTGAAATTCTTTACTTTTTCCTTTGTCAATTGTTATATTTCCTCATGTTCATCATTTTTTCCCGTTGTAACGGTGTTTTGGCAAGACAAGAGCCTTGTCTTGCTAAAACACCTTAGCCAGCTTGACTTGTGAGCGTTAGTTCCCTACTATTCTCAAGAACTTGACTACAAACAAAGATTCAATGCACATAGGTTTACCTCATAAGAAGAGAACTAACTATTTTAAAAGGGAAACACGCCTTTTGCATCCCTGCAGATCCACAATCTCAATTCTCCACTAGAATACAAGTTAATTCCAAAACCGCTCTTTTAGGAAGATTGATTGGAAAACCAGATGACAATGCAAAAGGCTTGACTAGGTTTAGAAGATTCATCACTTTTAGCTTTGTTTTGTGGAGAATAAGAGGAAATAATTTTTAACGGAATAATAGGGTTTATCAAGGATTGGTCTAATCAAAGAGAAGTAAGCTTTTAGAAGATCTACTTTGGAAACTAGTTCTTTCTCTTGTCACCGTTTCTTGCCAACAACTTCATTAGTTATGAGAATAACGATTGACAATTGGTCCACCATAGATAAAAGCTGATTTCGTAACTAACTTGGTGCAAGTGATGATTTCTTTCAATCCCTCTTTCAACGCTTTAGCAAAAATGTCATTGACACAAGTGGTTAAGCTGATTGGTTGGCTTGGTAACAGTAATATATACAATATTGTCTCTTCTGGTGACAATACTTTAGAAGTTTCATAAAAAGCTAATTGTAACACTAGCAATTCCCATAACAATTAACATTTGGAACACTCGACAAAATCAGAAATGTTTCACTTCCTTTTTTGCAGACTTGAGCTGAAAAACCATCAAAGTTGAACCCATATAAGAAAATGCAGCACTAGGTTCCTCTTCTAAGTATGATATGTCTTATCAATTTTTGTTGAGCTAGAGCGCCACTGCCACTTTAATGGTCTAACCCAGTAGACATGAATCTGGAACCCTGCTTAGAGGAGAATAGCCTCCCATGAAAGAGATAAGCTCATAGGTAATTGCACTCTCATTCACAAGGCTTGATCAATATAAAAAATAAGGTTCTTCCTCCGGTTAATAACGTTATGGAATAAAGCATAGTTTATTTATTTCGGCTTGCATTTCTGTAGCCAAATCATAGTTTATTTCGGTTTAAAGAAGTTGAGAAAGAAGAAAGAGGAAGTGTGATAAAACTTTTTTTTTTTTTTTTTTTTGAATTTCTCAACCTAGGTACATTCCAGTTCAGTGAGGTTATCTTGCATGTACAAGAATGACCCCAACAATAGATTATATTCCAATGAAATGTACCCTCTTCAAGTTTTTGATTCTTTTTATTTTTTTTGGTGGAGGGTGTGTGAAGGTGGTGGAATATCCTGGATGACACTGATTATTGTTTTGTTCTTATTGTAGGCTTGTTTTGAGGGGAACCCATTTAAGACTATTCCAGGGCCATTCAAGCTATTTTGGCAATGCATGCGTTCGAAACCTGGGTATGATTGTACCTTATCAGTTCTCTTTTGTTTATTTTCAAGATAGATTCATTCATTCGTCAGTATGAGGACTTAGCTTTACTTTTCAAGAAACCTCGCTATGGAATTGGAAGAATGATCAAATCTTTCACCCGCTGGGTTTGAGTGTAGATAATTGAGACCCATAAAGATGAAATCTTGATCTTGAGTACCTTGCCCTTTCTGTTCGTATCCTTCATTCATGCCCTGCCATGTCTGAAATGTTGTGAGCTAATGGAGTCGCTTCTAAAAGTCTTCAACCGTTTTGAACTCATCAAATTTGTAAGAACAGTTTCTGAAAATAGTTTTTAGTAGAATTGAGAATAGAAATGACACGTTAAGCATAGTAGTGATAACTGATGAGGCACGTGAATTTGATCAAGAAATGATTGTTTTATTTTCCATCATCAGAACTTTCCTTTTAGTTATCTCATAAATTGGATACTATTCCTACGTTTTTAGCCTGATAAACTAAGGAAGTTGGAGAAAATTCATTTGGCGTTGATAATAATGTTAATAAAATGCTACTCTCATATGTTATGGGGATCATGTGATTTCGTTTTGCAGGGAGGAACCAACGGAGCCATATACGTATTTGGACTTGGATCCTCCAAAGAGAGAGGTGAAACTCGAGTAAGAACTCACTACGCATACTTTTAATTCATGAATGTTAGATTTTCAGTTTTGATATTTGTCTCTTGTGAATTTTAAATCAGAACTCAGACGGTAGGTCATGCATTTAAATGGTTGATAGGAAAACGGCAATAATGATTACCGTGAAAATAGCTCTGTGAGCTTTTCAACATTATTGAATATGACAGAATTGGGTACCGAGTGTTTTTAGTTTTTTCGCATCGTACGACATTTTACAGCTAGCATAAAAATAGCTAGTAACCTTGATAAGAAGAAACTTTCGCCCCATTGCCACATTAGATAGTGTTATCTTTGAATTTTATTTTCTGAAAGGTTTTAAAATACGTCTGCTAGGGAGAGGTTTTCACACCTTTATAAAAAATATTTTGTTCTCCTCCCCCAACCGATGTGGGATCTCACAATCCACCTCTCTTCGGGGCTCAGTGTCCTCGTTGGCACTCATTCCCTTCTCCAATCGATGTGGGATCCCTCAATCCACCCTCTTTCGGTGTCCAGCATCCTTGCTGGCACATTGACTGGTGTCTGACTCTTATATAATGTAATGGCCCAAGCTCACCGCTAGTAAATATTATCCTCTTTGGACTTTCATTTTCAAGCTTCTACTTAAGTTTTTAAAACGTGTTTGATAGGGAGAGGTTTTCATACCCGTATAAAGAATGTTTTGTTCTCCTCCCCTTCCCAACCGATATGATATCTTACACTTTCCCCCCCTCCCCCCAAAAAAAAAAACACAATAATAATAATAATAATAATAATAATAAATAAATAAATACAGTGACCTGAGAACTTTAAATTAAAGCCCTTTTATGTTTTTTATTATTTATTTATTATTATTATTATTTTGTTTGGTTTCTGAAAAAATGGGTAGTTTTCATCGGTTTTTGACCTACTTGTGTTTAGTTTTTCAATTTGGCCCATGACTTGATTGTTTAATCTCCAATTTGACCCATGACTTTTGTTTAATTTCTTATTTGACCTTTGACCCATGATTTGTGTTTTATTTCCAACTTGACCCACGACTTGTTTGTTTATTTTCTTATTTGATCCATGACTTGATTGTTTAGTAGTCTTTCCAATAGTCTTATTTTAAAACATTTGGATTCAACTTTTTCTGATTAACAGTGAAGATGTTAAATTTTGATAAATTTGACACATTCAGTAAAATACACACCATTTTTTTTACCTTGGACGATATTTTTGTCATTTTATCAGGGGCATTGATCATTTTCAGATATATTATGACCATCTTTAAAAAGCTCATTAATTCTTGGTTTTTTTTTTTTTTTTTTTTTTTTTTTTTTTTTTTTTTATTGTTAAGGTCCTATATCTAAGTTTTTTGGTTTAAAATATTTTGGCTTTTAAGTTTTAGAATAATCCTTGAGAAAGATATTAAAACAAGAAAAGTTTTTAGAATTAGCTATGGTATCCTTTTAAAAATGAAAGAAAATGGCCATTAGATAGTACTCATTTGAAATGATGAAGAATGGTAAATGATACCCCATTAAAAATGTGAAAAGTGACCAATAATTTCCCTTTTAAAATGAAAAGATTTTGGCTGAGAAAAACTTTTGAAAATGTTAGTGAAGATGTTAGTGAAGATGTTAAAGTTTTGATATATTTGATCCATGGAATAGACAAATTTTCATTGTAACTTAGTTTTTTTACCGCTTGATGTCAATAATTTGTTTAGTGGTTTCTTGTTTTTGTTTTTTTACTTTTTATGTTTTGTGTTAAAGTCGTATATTTAAGTATTTTAATTTTTTGGGATTTATGATTTATAACTATCACTTATGGTACTCCTTTAAAATGACGAAAATGACCAATGGTTTCTTTTAAAAAAAATGAAAAACGTGGTCAAAGAAATTTTTTTGGAACTTGTTTCTTACCAAAAATATGGGTCAGTTCACTTTATCGTCCTAGACTATGACATTAACAAATTTGGATCACTACACTGTTTCTTTCATCATGTTCTTTCAATGTTCCATTTAGTGCTTTCTTATTTTTCTGGGCGTTAAATAAGCATTCTGGTTTTAGATAATTGGGTTTTAGGTTTATAACCATCTCTAAGCAATATACTTGTTAAAACTTGAAATGAGTTTTTTTAGAGATTAGTACCTAACCAATATTCCTCTTTTAAAAAATAAAGAAAAAATGGTTCGAAAAAAATAAAAAGCTTTTGTAACATGATTTATTTTAGGTTATAAAAAATCTTCAAGAACATTCTAGTAAAATAAAACTAGATTTTTTTAAAAAAAATGAACAATGGTTCCTCTTCGTTCACAAATTATTATTATTTTATTTATTTGACGGAATGTTTTCATTTTAACGTGTCATTCGACAATACATACATGAATAAGCACATGTTTTGGAATATATAATCTTAGTAACATAACATATGCATGTTTTTTAGCACAAAAATATATTGATATCTATTTATCCAAAAAAATTGCGACTTCATAAAAAAATATGTTATGCTCAATAAAAGTGATTAGGTACCACACAATTATTAAGAAAATTTTGATCGTCTTTGGTGGAAGGTAACTCAAATCTATTTACGGGGAGAAATTCCAGAAATTTAAAGGCAAATTTCTATCTACATCCAAAATGAAAACTTGAATTTAGAAAAAAGTCGAACTAAAAGTAACATATACATCACATTCCATGCATTATTAAAAGTGAAAATCAGCATCGTTGTGTTATTACGAGAACACCCTTAATAGACATCTTTATTGTGATTAAAGAAAAAGTCTAAGATCGATGTCTTATTCTGGACAACCAAAGGAAATTCTCTGATTTACAGGAGAGGTTCAATTTGCTCGCTTTTCCCTTTTCTTTAAAGAGGTTTAATTGTCTCTCTAACTATTATTATTTTATAACTTAATTATAATTAATTTATAAAGCCTGTCGAATTAAAAACTTAGTACATAATACTTTTTAATTTGTAACCATTTAAATTTTATATCAATTTTTTCCCTAACAAATATTGATTGATAAGCTAAATAGTGACAAAATATATTTATCAATTTAAAAAAATTAAGTAGAAATTAAATTAGTTAAAAAAATAAATGGCCAAATTCAGAGATGAGATGCAAACTTCCATAAAAGGACTAAGAACACATGAAATTATATATTATTAAAAAAAACAAACAAATATTAACCATTTAATATAATAAGGAGAAAAATAAAACAAATATAGATATTTAGAAACTGAAATAAGATTTAACCAACACGAAGCAGGGGTACTATGGAGGTTTCATAAGCGAGAAAGGTTGTTTTCGTCATTTTAGATTTGGATAGTCACCTCTCACAGCAGGCCATTCAAGTGGTTCTGTCAAACTTTAAGTGTTCACTTAAATAGCCTATTACTTCCACGCTATCCTCCCCTTTTCAAACCAGGTAAAAAAAAAAAAAAAAAAAAAAAAAAAAAAAAAAAAAAAAAAAAAAAAAA